ATTCAAATGTATGACATTTACTTTGAAATATCTCTTAATTGGTACAGTAAAAGTGTCTAATTTTCTCTATGGGTGGAGTCAACGATGCCTTGATTACATATACATCAGTCATTGTATGGAATTATTGAGAAAAATATTTTTGTAGCAGCTCAAATATTGTGATATTAGCCTTTTTTTGTCCTGAACATATATGCATTAGTCATTGTGGGGAATTATTGAGAAAAACATTTTCTTAGCACCTTAAAAACTTCAGAAATTTGCCATTTGAAGATATAAATTCAGTTCAGAGTTTTTGCTTCGTAAAACATCTTAATTGACTGTCAGTCAGGTATTATTAATTTGCAGCAACCCTCAAATCAAAGAATAAATACACTTTACGCACAATTTAGGTGTATTTTCCCTTTAACTCACGAGATGATGGTATCATCTTTTATACTTATTGGAATATAATTCATTTAATCTCATTTCATTATGCAATATGTATACTTTGTTGGCATCTTATTTTGAAAACCGGATGTTCGTCTGTAGAAAACCGGATGTTTTCACGTTAATCTTTCCGCTAACTTTGCAAAATCCTTCGCTCGCTCCCGTCCTGCGCCGTTTGGTTGCGTTTACCGTACATTTCAGCGTATAGGTGCACTACAATTTAAGTGTCTGCTGAGTTGACCACGGAGATCTGAGTGTCTGCTGACTTGACCGCAGTAACAATCCAAACGGCCGTCTGTTTGTTTCTTATTTTGCTGGCAGGTAACGTTACACAGGAAAAGACCGCTTCTTACGTTATCAACGTGGGACAAACTTTTCTCTCCCGAACTGATACAGAAGTGCACTTACGCGATGGAAAACTCCGAACTAAGTTGAAAGGGCGCGCAGACCTGGGCCAGAAAGAATGACTGCTGACGGGCCTCCAATGCCCGTCTGTTTGTTTCTTAGTTTGCTGGCACGTAACGTTATATATTATGGAGGATGAGTATCTAGCTAGCCTTCCAGCTAGCACTAGAGGTCCTGAGACAGGCGCACGCTAACGCGTCACCTCCGTTGTAAATAGAGCAATCCAGGTGACAGATGGCTAACTAGCTGTTATATGTGGAGTGGATGTGAATGAGATCGATATGCTTGGTATGAAATGAATAATTAAATAAGTAAATGTAAACTAATATGCAAAGCTCCTGGTTAATGGATGAGAGGTTTGTATTTAACAGTATATTGTTTGCATCTTGCAATAAATATTAATGTTTTTGATCACTTTGTGTTGTGTCTATTTGGTCACACAAAATTGGGTCACACAAAATACTTAATAAATGCTTTATAAGGCATAAATAGTCCTCACTTTAAATGAGGTCACATAAAACACTTTACTAACGAGTAGTAACTACCTTAATTAATCATGAATTGCAGTATTAATATGCGTTTATAAAGCATATATTAACATAGTCCCTAACCATTATATATATTAATGCATGAATAATGTACATCTAAATAAGTTATTAATCATTTACTAACACTTTATAAATGATCTTATTAATCATCTACAACTCCTTAGTAATTGGTTTGTAAAATATATAATACTTAATTTACAAATGGGGAATCCATCATTTATAAAGTATGAAAACACAATAATGAAACACATAATAGACAGGCGTATTAATCAAGAATAAAACATTTACAACTGTTGTTATGAACTGCATACTAATGAATTATTAATGTAGGAACAATGCTTTATAAATGATGAATTAAGTGTTTACTCATACTTAACTAATGCTTCATAGTGTGTATTATAAAGTGCTACCGCTATTTGTGGTGTGAATGCTTTTTATTTTTGTGTTTTCTTGAGAGTGGCTTAAATGCATATATATGCATTGTGCTTATATGTGTCATATACTAGATTGTAGGGTACACTTATTGTATTGGGTGTGATGGCTGAATAAAATATTACACTACTAGTGCTGAATATTGCCCATAGAAGGTACTTCTAAAATGTTTGACTTAGTTGATTTAGTTTGTGTTCCTCCCACAGAAAGTATCCGGTTCACTGCATGTCAGATGTGTTCTACCTCCTCATGTGGAAACCTGTGCTCTAGAGACAGAGAGAGGTCGAGAGACGAGTGAGTAAGGAGGCCTCATCTCTCTGGGCCCCTGAGACGGACCCTGATGAACCTGGATAACAGCTCCCAGCCCAGCTGGGAGGAGGATCCCTTTGGGCTCCATAACAACCGGGGCCAATACAAGTGACTCCAACATGTCTGAATCAGTTGAGACTTCTAATAATCATATTTTACATCATTAAGTGTACTTGGTAAGTAGCTTTAACAACAAGAACTCACTTCAGTTTACAGTGATAATGTGTATTATAAGGCCTTCCGCTCATTTTGTCAGTGTTAATATCTTTACATGAGTCATAACTGGGTTTATCCATAGTGTGTATATGACAGGTGATACATAGAGGCTGTTTAAGCTGTGTACGTCCATAGAGAACTGCTGCACTGGTTCCCTGACCCTGACACAGCACTGAACTGGGAGCTAAACTCCAGTGGACTGGACAAACTGGTTTTGATTTTCACTCAGATGTGGATGTACTCATACACTTCGGATGTCTCAATGCTTCAAAGTTGATGTTCTAGTCTTTAGTCTTTGTCTTTAACCAACAGGTCAGGTTCACTTCACATTCGTACCAGTGAAGAGGAAGAGCAGCAGACTGGGACACAGTGGAACAGGTTCTGTTTGGGTTTAGTCCCATTAGCTCAGCATGTTTACTCAAATCCTTCTCTGCCAGATTACATCAGCTAAAATTAGATTTTCAACCCGCTGTGACTCGTTAAACTCAGGACTTCAGAGAAGTTCTCTTTTCTAATCACACTGTAACATTAAAAACAACCACTATCTACTGTGTACACTTGGTTTACCTGAATGTGAGGGATGATGATGATGATGATGATGATGATGATGATGATGAAGAAAAGTCAGGTTGAGCTCTAAATTAATCCCATATTGTTCCTGGTTGGTTCTTCCTTCACATCAACCGGAGACTGAGGCTCAGATACATAAATATGTGTCTTCTAACACAGGTCACAGGAGCACAGCTCCTTCGGTTCATCCACTCTGCACGACCTCAGAGGATGAAGGGAGAGGTGGAGGAGGAGGAGGAGGAGGAGGAGGAGGAGGAAAGAATCATTTTCTCTGGCTTTATGACTTGACAATAGGAAATTGATCTTAGTGATACAGTCTATCAACATCATGACACACAACGATATTGTTCCAGAAACTGGATATTAAATAGTCATAAATGTTGCTATATGATTTCTGAGCTTCTTTCAACTTAATTACATTCTAATATGAATTGTATACTGAAGGGATGTTTTCTTTTGACACTGTATACTGGTATCACTGTATGTCCGTATCTTAGATGAAGAATCAACTGATGGGCATGTCTTCTGTTACAAATATCACTGAACAGATAACCGGACTGATAGGAGTGGGAGCCACCTCTTTATTTATATCCCTTCCAGTCTGAGTAAATCCTCTTAGTGTGTGAGGCAGCAGACTCCGGCAGGACCATCTAATCTCAGCCCTGAGCTCAGCCTGTGACAGCTGCTGTGAAAGTGAGAGCAGCAAACACAGAGAGTACATCACAGGTCACTTCTTCTCATTTTCTCTAATGTTGTGTATGTAGAAAGCCCTGGAGTGTGCTTATATCACACTGAACACCTTTAGTAATTGTCTATAAGTGTACATCTGCACTTGTGTTTATGTGTTTTTGTTTGCTTGTTTTTCATCGTGGCTATCTGGCTAATGTAATAATATAATATAATAATCTATCTGGCTCATCGGCGATGCCAAGGTGAAAACGTGGAGCTGCCATCATGTCGCAAGAAATATTTTTTGTGAGAGGCTGCGGGCAGATATTAAAGAGTGTCACTTGGATGAAACACAATCGGAAATCAGTGAAATCTATAAAATTTGTAAAAAAAAACCTGAATCAACCTTGAAACCATTGCTATACATGTGCACATGCACTATGACTACCACTACATCTCAGTTCAATGTGAAAACACATTTTAATGGAAAGCTCTGTAGTGAACATGCACAGAAGGATGGAACTGAAATGTCAATGACACAATCGTCCAGTGACTGCCCTCAGTGACGTATAGTTCACTTAATGGTTGAACTCCAGCAACTAATGAGGAAAAGATGCCATAATGACCCCTGCAGCTACAAAACGGGGTGAAAAGATTCATCCTAACCTGAGGACACCAGAGGAAGAAAAATCAACCACCACAGAGTTAAAGAGATGGAAGAATTTGATTCAACAAACGATTCTACTATCATCCAACAAGATGCAGCAACTTCTCCAGAAAGCTCAACCTCCCTCTGCCCATCAGCCCTCACGTGAAACCTCACGTGATACCATTCCCAGAATATCTTAGACCTAAAGATCCAAATGAAATTGAAATTGAAACGATCAGCGACCTCCTTGTATTTTGCTCTCATATATGACAATGTTTTTTTATGTTGCTATGCACGCTGCTTGGATGGATGGAATAAAATGACAGATCTGTTGGCGGTTTATATTTTGATGTGGTGCCATAACAAAACTGAATGTTAACCTTGAAGGGACTTTGTGAAGGATTTGGTGGCATCTCGTTGTGTGGTTGCAGATTGCAACCAACTCCGCTCACTCCCCCCTTTCCATGAAGAAATGCAGATATGAAGGGCTCATTCTAAGCTAACAAAAACACTAGCATTATTAGTTTTAGGTGATTACTGCTAATGAAAACGTAGTTATAAATATAATATTCCATTTCTGCAAATAGATCCCTCGAAACGTATGTGAATTAATAGCGGAGTACCAATGTACCAACATGCTACATTGCTTCATTATTAAGTTCTGAGAAAAGAGATTACAATTGTTGTACCACGAGTGCAAGAACGTCTCTCTCTTGGTCCAACCAATAAAGGTACCACTCATTCAGTGTGGCTTTGTGGCACAAGGCAGTGAAGCTTACTTGTGTAAGCTGTAAAAGATAAAACATAGGACAATCTCCAAATGAGAAAGATTGCCAGAGAGATCAGTCTCTCTCTCTCTCTATCTCTCTCTCTCTCTCTCTCTCTCTCTCTCTCTCTCACGCTCTCTACACACACATCCACACATGATATTCAAGGAAAGATCATTAGACCTCCTGTCTGCCTGTCTCACTCACTCACTCAGTCCATCTAACGGTCTGTCTGCCTGTCTTACTCTCCCACTCACTGAGTCCATCTAACTGTCTGTCTGCCTGTCTCTCTCACTCACTGAGTCCATCTAACTGTCTGTCTGCCTGTCTCTCTCACTCACTGTCTCTCTCTCCTCTCTGTCTATCTTTCTGTCTGTCTCTCTCTCTCCGTGTCTCTCTCTATCATACAGTCATTCAGGTCTTAGATATTTTTAGAGGACTTTTCCCCTCTCACCCCCCCCATTTCAAATTAAAAGCCCCACAGAATGAATTCTAACTGGAATGCTTGTGATGAAGCCTCTCATTTTAGTGTCAAACATTATGATTCTGTCTCCTCTCCCCCTCTCTCACCCACCCAGTCCCACCCTTTCAAAATAAAAGCCCCACAAATACAAGTTTCAATCCAAGAGTATGAATCTAAAATGCAGAAAAGAGAGTAGCGCTATCTCAATTGAACCTGAATGACACTACCGGTAACATTGGCGGGTGTATATATTGCGATTTCTTCGGGCAGTAGAAGCCACACTGTCAAAATTTCTTTAGAAATTTTCTAGTTTTTAATACAATTCATACCTCTCCTTATTCTACCAAATACAGTGTATACAGGGTTGAACCTATCTTTATGTGTGAGGTTGGACTGTACCACACAGCCAGATTAGCTGCTGTAAATGAGATTAGAGTTAATCTGTTGATGCGTTTGTGAGCAGATAAGAAGTGATGGATCACAATTCACACTGTTAACGTGGCTGCTGTTACAGTCCAGTCAGCAAGTATCTTTTTAATTTACAGTGTACATCGAAAACTCTGACCAGATTTAAGCAGGACCAAAATAAATGCCAATTAGAAGAAATGATCAAATGTATTCACTATTTAAATGATTCATATAGTGCTTTATGTTGCATTGTATTTTTGTAGTTTCAGAATGCTTGTTTTTTTGTGTATTATTACAGTATAATGCATAAAATCAATTTTATATTGGTTTTCATTTAATTTCAATCATACTGTTTTGGTTCTTAGAGCAACTGAACACACCCCCTTCACTAATTAAGAAATGCACTGGAACCCAGACACACATCACCGCTTCTGATTGCTGCATTACTCTTATATGTCGGTGTGTAATGGTGGTTGGGGTAGTCTTGGGCCAGAGCGTCCCATGTTATGTCTAAGATACTTTCTGAGGGGAAAGTCAAAATAACTACAGACTGGGACCAGCATTAGTAGATAGTGTAATAAAATGATTGAACATTTCCTAATTAAAAATGGATTCAGTGCCAAGTTAGTCTTTGAATTACAATGAAAAGTACAAGTCAAATCAGACATTTTGTCACATTTGTGATGAATGCTGTGTACTGCTCTGTCTGCAGCCTCATCAGATTTCTCCTGCAGGGATCAGATCTGTTGTAAGCTGGTCTCCAGGCTGCAATGCTCATTTCATGACACTGGAGGTCCTCCTTATATAATACTGGCCCCATGAGCATTCGTAATTGCTAAGCTGCTTTGGATGCAGCTTGTTGTCTCCAGTGTCTCCCAGGTTGCACCGCTCACTGAATCCTCTCTTGGTTGTGCTAATAGAACAGCAAATCAAATATCAGCTTGCATGACTGTACTATTCTTTCCTTTCATTCTTTAGAGAAAAGTGCCCTCTAGGTACCCTTCCAGCAAAAAACACGTGATGAAGCGTCTATCGTGCTCTTACTGTGTAGAAAATATGATGACGTGTGTTCTAGGGGGCCCTTCAAGTAGAGAAAATGGGACGAAGTGCCTTTAAGGGTAACCGTAAATGTTTTTCACCCCGGCCCTCAAACGGCCCGAATCTGCCACTGCATATGACAAATAACAGTGAAATACTTTTGGTTGTAATGAAAACGCTAAGGAACAGTGGGGTAACTTAAGACCAGACCTGGGGGAGAATAGACTGGTAGTTGGTGTGCCACAAGAATCTGTGTGATATACCCAGCCATTCTGCTAAGTACTAGTGACACTGTGAATCAAATACTGAAACTTAAACCAACCAACTATAAGAATTTGTCAAAAAAATGTATTACGGCAAATAGAGTGAAAAGACTGAATGAATCAACAGTCATCTGTCATATAAGATTAAGATCGGCACTAAATTCTGGCTGTTAATATCAGTAAATGAACCGGTGAAATCACTGTTGTCATTACTTCCCAGTGCTGCTGATGCGTTAACAAGCTGCTGACTGAGCAAGCACTGATCTGACTCCCCAATTAAATTAATTACAGCCTCAGTGGCAGCGTTACCTGCCTCCCCACAGGACCATTGTGTCATGGTGGATCCTGCATCACCCACCTGTCCTTCCTCTACCTCAGGCACCTGCAGTGCCCCAGGTCAACTCAGTTCACCTCCACTCAAAAAGACAGTCCAGCCTCACAGAGACACAAACTAACAGTGCATTTGGTTGCTCGTCATCAGCTTGTAAATGTAAAGAAGCCAAATGATCAGCAGGGCAATGGCCTCAAACAGCTGACAGGGTTGGAACACCATACAGTAGGTAAACTGTCACGTTCGAGGGGCAGATCTGAGACTCAAGCGCAGACAGACACTGGAGACAAGGTGAAGTTGAAAAAATAAGGTTCTTTACTTAAAAAGTCACAAGCAAAAACTCAAAGCGACTCCAACAGGGAGCGGGCAAAAATCCAAACACAATACAAAAAGGCAAAGGTACAAACCAGGAGCACGGCGCAAACACGAGGGAGAAACAACATTGGAACTGACAGGGGAACGAACAAGGAAGATCTGACAACCGGAACAGGGAAAGCAGGGGAGTATATATATGTGGGGTGATGAGAAGATTGAAGGCAGCTGGGTGGACTGGGCAGGTGAGTAGGATGAGTGCAATCAGGGGGAAACACACACACACACACAC